CTACCTGCGTCTTTGTTGGTCATTCTACTCGAAAATTAAAGTAGGATGTGGCCTCAAAGTATCACCTGACCTACCATTAGAAAAGATCACTATATACTTTTACATAGTATGATCTACTTTGCATTAACATTTCTCACAGATGGTGTATGTGATATCATATGTGAATAACCCAGAACAATAGGTAACTAAGGTGAAATAATCTTAGATACACCTGAAAAAAATCTGAAAAAGATTGATATGAACTTAGGGTTAAATAAAGGGGTAGAAAACTCTGAGTATGTCTGCCGTGAAGGCAGCATTGACTGCTGACTGATTGACCTCCCTCTGGTCAGTAGTTCTATTTAAGAAATGGTTGTACTTGAACCTGAAAGATCTCTGATCTAGCTGTGTAGCCGATGTGTTGCATATGATGTCATTCAGGTTGAAAGTATCATTTCATTCCAAGCATAAACAACTATTTAAACCACCTATACTCATGAATAAAAACAAGGCAGATAATGTTTAAATTCCAATGTTTCTTGCTTCTACTCTTTCTTGGTGTTGATTTCGAAATACGTAGAGCAATATAAGGAAAAATTTCTTTATAAAAATTAAAATTATTGTTCACAAATATTTTAATAACAACGAATGCACAAGTAAAAGAATACCAATTTTATTCGCCCCCCCCCCAGTGGCACAGCGGTATGTCTGCGGACTTACAACGCTAGAATCCGGGTTTCGATACCCGTGGTTGGCAGAGCACAGATAGTCCCTTGTCTAGCTTTGTGCTTAATTACCAAAAAAACAAACAATAAGCAAAATCAATTTTATTTTTTATGTTTTCCATTTTCACTCTCTATCAAATTTTTTATTTTTTTCCATTTTCCCTCTCTATCAAATTCGAAGAACTTATGAGTGAAAGAAAAGAAGAATTTATATAATTATATTTATACCGACGAGGCCTTTCGTCTAGTTCCTGGGTTCATCAGGCAAGCTGGAATATGATAGATATAGTAGTGGTTGAGACATTATCAAACTCTATTAAGTTAGTGATGTGTTTGTTTTAAATTTCGCGCAAAGCTACACGAGGGCTATCTGCGCTAGCCGTCCCTAATTTAGCAGTGTAAGACAGTGTAAGGGCAGGCAGCTAGTCATCACCACCCACCGCCAACGCTTGGGCTACTCTTTTACCAAGGAATAGTGGGATTGACCGTCATATTATAACGCTTATTTGAGAGAATATTCGAACCCGCGACCGTCAGATTGCGAGTCGAGCGCTAACCACCTGGCCATGCCGGGCCTAGTGAAGTGTAATGTTTATCAATTGTATGAGTAATTTTTAAATCATAATTAGGGGAAGAATTAATGAGAAAATATTATTTGCTTATATTACAATTAGTATTTATTTCAACTTCAATTAACTTCAGTAGATCTGGCGAACAAGAAAGCTAGTGATAATACCGCTGAACAGGCTCCACACTGTTTGGTTATAAAATAGACAGGCCATATTGGTGTTCAGTTCGAAAAGTTGAACAAAGCCCTTGCGATGGAGGGTGCTGCGAGTTATATGACTTTCTTCTGTTATAGTTCGAAGTTAGGACTAAAATACCCGAATCCTTGTGTCTATGGCCTGGCCGCTTAGCTCACCTGCGCATACGGAGCCTTTGAGATTGGAATTTCAATTCCGTTATATTTTATATATGATGGATCTTAGAATGCGCTGACCTACTTATTAAATCAATTTTTTTAAATACAAGTTGCTTATATGATTAGCCTAATACGTTGAAGAAGAGAGGTATTTTTAATAGTTAATATAATTACATATCACAGATAAGTAAGTGTTCTTCTTTAAATGTCCCTTCCGTGGAGGTCAGAGGGCTTGTAATGCTAGAAATCGGGTTTCAATATCCGTGGTGGGCAGAACACAGATAGCCCATTGTGTAATTTTGCGCTTAACAAAAAAATAATTAACTAAACATTTCTGACGCGTATTTGTGTTGGATTTTTTTTTTAAGATAAAGCTGAGGCTTGTTTAAAGAAAACTCATATCATATTACTTTGCATTGTAAAAATAGTTCTAAGCTTTTCTCGAAACCTAAACTGTTGATATGTGTATAAGAAGAAAAACATAGACTCTTTGATACGCAAATTGGCTGGAAATAACACAAGCGGTATTCCGATGAACGAGGCTTAAGTAGAATTGTTCTCGTCTTACAATATTGAACCAATATTCTCGAAACTAGACGTTTGGCGGGAAACCTTTAGCTATTCTTGAAAGTGATTATGGAGCAGAAAATATATAATACAAAGAAGAGAAAAACGTGATTAATCAGGAAGGCAAACCGAAGAAAATAAACTATTATTACTCAGCCAAGCCTAACAGCCACTTCATCACGTCTATAATATGACCTACTCTGTGACGTATGCTTAGCCTAATACTATATATATCATACAAAATTAATTTCACGGCAGAGAACAGAATGTTTAATAAAAACGTTTGAACGATCTGGAAGACTTCCAATATATAATTATAATTCTATAGGTCCAAGAAGTTATGTGACACCTGTATGCCTCCACGTTTTCTTCCGCAAAAGGTCGCCATCGCTTGACGTGTTATTTTGGAACATCAATGAGCCTGCGGTCATGAGGCTGTTCGCGAAATTGATAGATTCTCTTAACAACTATATGTATGTATATGGGCTAATGGGAAAACCGGTAAGTTTGTTTGCACACAGGGCCGAGCGCAGGAATTTAAAATTTCCTGCTATTGAAGGGGGAGAACACGTTAAACATACACATTATATATGTATATAAACCATATATATATATTAAAATTAACAGTGTTAAGTGACCAAGTCCGTATGCATAGAATTATTAGAGGGGGCTTATTTGACCCCTTGTGCACGTTCCTGTTTATATACTGTTTTGTTTGTTTTTTGTTCAGTTTTTCTCCTTTTTTATTTCAAGAAAAGCAAGCATAAACGAGGGCGTTGATTGTCCACCTTTACGCGTTGTAAACTTAAACGGCAACAAGTTATATGTTCAGGGGCTGTAAAATGTATACTGTATACTTACTGCATGTCTGACATTCTGAGACAAGGGTTCCTTTTCTTTAGAACCTGTGAGATTTCCTCCAAATCATTACGGAACACAGTGTACGGCTGAAATGCATTAGACTATCTTGAATAACTCTAATACGTGTAGGCTATATATTGAACAGCTATAATACGTGTAGGCTTCTTTATTAATCAGTCTTTCAGGCAAATACACAAACGTACAATTAAAAAAATTAACGATACACTTTCATACCGTGCATACAATGTAATTAAAAATCCGTTTAACAGTTTGTTTTTTAAGTTAAGCACAAAGCTACACGATGGGCTATCTGTGCTCTGCCCATCACGGGTATCGAAACACGGATTCTAGCGTTGTAAGTCCGCAGACATACCGCTGTGCTACTGGGGGGCCCGTTTAACAGCCTTACTCATGTCTCGGGTTAGGGTTAGAAATCGATGTATAAATACTCCTTTAATTAATTTGTTTGGTGTTAAACGTAATACACAAGCTACATAATGGTTTGTCTGTGCTCTGTCCACAGTGGATATCGAAACTCGATTTTTAGCGATATAAGCCTCAGACTTACCGCTAAGCCACCGGCGGTGAGGGGAGATTCTGCTAGTATCCAGCTGTCTTATGCATATTACAAACTGACAGTTTGTTAATAAAAATATGGATTTCGTAAATTACCTTTCAAAATGAACTGTGTAAAATAAACAAGTTTTTAAACCCAATTTATATTTTAAATATATTAAACTGTTTCATTTAGTCATGTGAAAATAACGATCATGGTGTATACTTCTGAAATATCAAGTTTTATTTTATATTAAACAGTAAACACAATACCTTTTAATTCGATATACAGTGGGCTATCTCTGCTGTGCCCACCACAGGTATCGAAACTAGATTTTAGCGTTATGAGCATTCAGACTTACTGCTGAGCCAATGGGAACTACAACCATTATACGTATTAATAATGGCTGGAGACGGCTTAAATGGGTAATGAAGAAAAACTTTAATATAAGTTTAACATGACAGCAAATGTACAACGTTTCGACTCCAGCCATTATTAGTCTCAAAGTGGGTTCCTCGTCACCGAATTATACGTATTAGTTATTCAAGATATTTTCTGTGAACTATGAACTTCAGACAATTATGAATAAAGAAAAAAGAAAAAAAGGAAAATACAAATGAAAATCTATTCAAGGACACTTATACGATTTGAGGAAAAATGATGAATATTTTATATGGTTTTATTACAGCGTTATTATACGTTAAAATGAACTCCGTACTCTGATAAACGTACTATGTTTCCATCAGTATTTTTAGTTATCTTGATTAATTCAAAATTTCCACGGATTTAATTTAATTTAAGTTAATTTAATTTTTTCATATAGAACTTGGGAAAACTACAGTGGTTATGAAAATCCTGATTTCATTTATGTTTGTGGATAGGAACTCGTTGGCATGCAACCGACATTTAGAAACAGTTGTAGCCATAGGAACGAATAAAGCTTTTTTGTCAACATGAAATTCGTAAACATCAGTCTGATGACAGTTTTTTTTTATCAATTTCGTGGAATTTCAAAACCTAAAGACCAGTGATTTTCCCCCCTGATTTTAAAAATGTTGCTTATATCATGAATTGTAAAGGTAGACAACTCAGTAAGTAAAAAAGCACTTAGAACATGGATATGTTAACAGTAGCTAGAGAGACAGATAAAGTCCATACAATTAACATTTCGTTTTAAAGTATATATGTTAGAAACTTGCAGCTACTCTTAGATTTGTAGGTGGCGCTACCACCAATAACTAGAACAAATTCTATCGGACGCTGGGAAAAACAAGAGAAAGGACAGGTGTTTCTTAGGTAACGAAGCATGTTGTGTTATCTTTATAAACTCTGTCCAGCGCTGTTTTCTCTCAGTTGTTACAATTAACTCGTTATTAGTTGAGCTTTAAACATGGTTACTCGATAGTAATGTAAAACTCTGTTGAACAATGTCCCGTGACTTGGATAATACACCAGACTCGTGATGTTGCTATGGAAACGGTAAAGAGAACAATGCTTGATAACGTTCAGATTCAATATGTTATTGGTTGTATCATGTTCAGAAGATTGTATCTGTACTGACGTTTTGAGCATATATTGCAATTTGGGAAGATAAAGTGATATTTTTAGTTTTTAAAAAGGCGAGCCTTTTAGCGTAGTATTAATACCTGGAGAAAAATAAGTGCTGTATATATATTTATTAATTTGCTTTTCGCATTTTTATTGTATGCTTTGCTCACACCTTTTCTAAAATGAATATTAATATTTGATCTTGGAATAATGAACTTTTACTTTTCAGAGCAAATATGGATGTCAAGAAATCAGATTGCACACGTTTTTTGGAACGAGTGAAACTGTCCAGCGAGGGAATCGCCACGTGTACTTTTTCAATTGGACGTTGTTAGATAAGAGGTATGTGACATCTTTAAAATCGAATATAATTGATACTATTATATGTGTCCATCTGTTCTTGGATGGCCCGGCATGGCCAGGTGGATAAGGCACTCGACTCGCAATCTGAGGGTCGTGAGTTCGAATCCCCGTCCCACCATGCTCGCCCTTTCAGCCGTGGGGGCGTTATAATGTGACGGTCAATCCCACTATTCGTTGGTAAAAGAGTAGCCCAAAAGTTGGCGGTGGGTGGTGATGAATAGCTGCCTTCCTTCTAGTCTTACACTGCTAAATTAGGGACGGCTAGCGCAGATAGCCCTCGTGTAGTTTTGCGCGAAATTCAAAAACAAACAAACAAACTGCTCTTAGATATAGAACGGAATGTAAGTACAAGTAAATAAAGGGTTTGTTTGTTGTTAAGCACAATGCTACACAACATGCTATCTATGCTCTTCTCGCCGTTGGTAAATAAAAATTATATAATTAGCAAGTGCAATATACAAGATACGCTTTTAAAAATTCAGCGTACATCCGATTTGTAATGATTTGTTCAACTTCATTAAATACTGGTTCTATTGCAGGGTTCTTAATATACATTAAATAACCAAACAACAAAAGATAAAAGACTAACTTGCAATTCTAAAAGATGTAATGACTTTCATTGAATACACGACAAAGTGGTCTAACATTGTTGGGCTTATAACGCTAAAGCTAGAATTTCTATACCCGCGCTAGGTAGAGGACAGATAGCCTATTGTTTAGCTTTCTGCCTTACAAGAAACAAACCTTATATAAACTTTAGCCCTCTAGCGGCATAGCGGTATGTCTGTAGACTTTGAACGCTAGCAACCGGGTTTCGATATCCGTGATGGTTAGAGCACAGATAGCCCATTGTATAGCTTTGTGCTTAACAAAAAATAATAATAATAATTAAACTTTACTATATGAGACAGTAATGTTTTTATTGCGGTCTAGAGTTCGATAAAACCAAAAGAATATAATTATGTTATTTGAAAAGAACGTTCTGGAGTTAAATAATAATAATCGTGTAAGTTTACATATCAAATTAAACAAGCTATAATTGAGGAAAAAATTCATTGGTTATTCGATTATTTCGTTTACTCCAACACACTTTGAATCTAATTTACTGTTAACTACTAAATATAATTTCGAAACTAATGTACATCCAAAATTATCGCTTGGTATCAAGTCTATTTAATAAACTATTTAATTAATTATAAATTGAAACTCGTACAAAACATATTTTTGGTAGAAAGTTTCGACCCTAGACACCAGTAAGAACATTCTTTACAAGTGTCTACTTTGTCTGTCTTTTTTATTCTCTGATTACGATGTCTTTTCTTTGATATGTATTTTTATGGTTTCTGTTACACCTTGATAATGAATAGTTTGAGGATTAAATTGCCTGGAGCTGTTGTTATTAAGCATAAAGCTACACAAAAAGTCATCTGTGTTCTGCAGTTTGAGGGAAAATTGCCTGGAGTTGTTGTTATTAAGCATAAAACTACACAAAGAGTCATCTGTGTTCTGCTCATCGCGTGTATCGTATGGTATTATAAACCCTCAGTCTTAACACTGAGCCATTAGGGGGCAAAAATTCCTCACAGTGCTGTCATTACCAAAGATTACATATGATCGCAAGATATGTTGAATTTAATTAGCTTAGTTTGATCTTAACGTTATTCATGTTAAATATTTTGTGCTTTTTAACTCACACATGTATTTCATTATGATCAGCTAAAATGTGTATGAGTAGACGCGTGTATTTCATAACAGTTCAAAGACTATAAAGTATATGAAAATTGCTGATTAAAGAGTCTTAATATTGATCCTATAAGTATGTTTAGCGAAACATTCACTTACCTTGCTTGTTAATGCACAGAGAACGTGCTTTACGAAAGAATGATCTGTTGTAAGAGATTTGACTAAAGTTTAATTAATTAGAAACTTGGATTTATTCTCTGTAACATGCTAGACAGTTTATATCCGTAAAACGACATATAAAGGATTATGAATGACGTATTTGTGTATGTATACGTTCAAATATCATATCATTTCTTATTCATTATGTAATAGTTATTATATGTTTTCGTAGTTTAATCATTGGATTAAACAAACAACGACAAAGTTACATTTTTCGCACTTAATCTTGTTTGTTAGTAACTTTGAAATATGACGTTTTACGAAGCTAGACGCTCCTAGTGTTTAAACAATCTGATCTGAATTTTATAATCCATATTAATAAAGCAGAAAAATAAAAGTAAAGAAATAATAGATAAATAAATATATATTTTAATCTTACGTACAACAGTTGTTACTGATGCTTTCCAACCTAATTTCTGGATGTTTAATTAATTATAAACAAGCAGTTGGTTTAGAACGTCCAACAACGTAATTATTTTATTATTCTTTATCTAATTGTTGACGAAAATATATTCTTATTTCCATTGTATTTAGATATTACATTTGAATTCAATGTTTTTAAAACATTGAATCATAAGGTGGAAATCTACCAGTGGTTTAGCAACAAGCCTCAGGGATTATAACGCTCAAATTTATAGTTCGATCACTGCCAATAATTCATCATTCTTTATGTAAAAAAAAAAAGCATAAGGCGTTAAATTGCTATTATACAAATCTGTGTAATCTGAACCCCCATTAATATTGTATCTAAAGAATTTTTCATTTTATTTCAACAGGAGACAGCAATGTCTCTATTCTTGGGAAAACTACAAAGATAAGTTTGGGTGATATTATATGCTAAAAATTAGATATATATATAAATCACAATTGCTCACACGGCTTGCTGACAAAATCGTCACTTGTAGGGTAATTTGCAAACTTGATTAAATTTTGTTCTTGTAGTCTGTTAACAGCGACATCTGTTGTGATTAAAAAAGTTTACATTCAAGATACATCATGCTACTTCAACACATGGTTACAAGAAGAACGGTCGAATACTTTCTGTTACACAGGGACACCTGGACATTTAAAAGTTACATACTGTATTTTCCTTTGTAGCGCCATTTTGGCTTCCACAGTGATCTGAGGATTATTAGGCTGCGTGAAACTTAGCTTTTTCAGACAGCCTGTGATTGGTTGTGGGCTGCATCTACTACGAACCTAATTAACCCACGTTAAATTATATTTTACACGAGGTGGCCATGTCTACTTCTGTACTTTTTAGGTACTCTAAATGAAACAACATTACGTAGATATAACATTAATAACAAAAGATTTATTTTGATATCCTCATTCACAGGACCACTGAATTTACTGCTCGTTGGTTGATTTGAACAGATGTGTAAATATATCGCTTCTCATTTTGCTATTTGAAAATGTATAAACAAATGTCGCCATATTTTATCTCTAACTTTATTATTTTAGCTAAATAGCTGATAACTGTCAGCTTTAAAAAATCTCTTAAAGATTGGTGTTTTGGTTCACCATTGTTGTGATAAATGACTGCTCTGAAGTTACTGTTATAATTTACTTTGATTGGGAGCTGACGAAACGAATGCATCGTTTGGGGATATCCTCAGTCTACTCCCGTAACTCATTCATGATTTTTTAAAAAGCTCTCTAATACATACCATAGGCACAATGGCCACCGTAATTACTTTCAAAAAGTCTTGAGTTCACTCTCCAGAAGAACAGGACATCGCTTTTCAAGAACATATATATATATGGGCAATTATTCCTGAGTTGTTCCTCACTCCTCCTTTACGCAAAACAGAAATACTTACATCCAAGTCTACTGTTGAAACGCATTTAATGAATGCATTGCGGACGTGTGTTAAAAAAAAAGTTACTGTAAAAAAAAAAAAGAGAGAGAGAAGAAAAACAGGATGAAATTCCAGTTTCAAAACCGGATGCTGTTGCCACTTTTTACTTGTTCTGTATACAGCGCGTAGTGACCAAACCGCTTTAGTACCCGTATCGGACAAAAGGGCCTTTCTCATTAATCGAAGGTTTTTGTAGGGGAACGTACCGAGGTAGTGAAGCCAAAAACTTAGTATTCTGCATCCGCCGTATGCTTTTTATGACCCTGTAGAGCGAGCGTTTAGCGGTAAATATTTTAGTTATCTCTGTCCTGGCGGGCTCATGTCCTATTAAAAGCACCACCAGTTTATTTATTTTTTCTCTTCACATAAACAGGCATGAATCTTGTAATAGGGAAATGTGTGTGTGTGTGTGTGTGTGTGGATCATGTGCATGTGAAGTGAACTGCAAGAAAATAAGTATCACAGGGGAAAAGCTTGTGTGTGTGTGTGTAGATCATGTGCATGTGAGGTGAACTGCAAGAAAATAAGTTTCACAAGGGAAAGGTGTTTTGTTGTGTGTGTGGATCATGTGCATATGAGGTGAACTGCAAGAAAATATGTGTCGCAGTATGAATTTCTTAAGAATGATGTTAAAACACTTAAATCGTTATATTATTTTGTTCAGTACGACTTTGTCAGGCCTCGTGACTATTAAACATTTCTGTATAATGGTTAGGCAAAAAAAAAAAACGCCTTCCTCCCCGCAGTAGCAGGGCAGAGTACAGATAGCCCATTATGTAGCTTTACGCTTAACAACAACCAACCTTATATTGCCTGGGCCCCCAGTGGCACAGCAGTATGTCTACGGACTTATAACGCTAGTATCTGGGTTTCGATACCCGTAGTGGGCAGAGCACAGATAGCCCATTGTGTAGCTTCGTGCTTAATTACAAACGTGCAATAAATAAATACGATTACAAAGTTCAACTTAATTTGATTCTTTTTATTTTTTCACGTTGGTTTTTGCAGAATGATACGTCATTGTGATCTTTCGGGTTGATCTTGTAAATAGCTTCATAGATCAGCTAGCAATCAGCTAGAAATTCTCAAGTATATGCTTCTAGCAAGGTACCCCTCCTTGTGGGTAATTTTAAATCGAGCTTCTTACGACTAGTGTGGGTCAGGAATGGATGAGTGGTTATGGGACCCAGACTGTGGTTTGGTTTGTTACGAATT